ATAACATGAGGGGGCAGAGACCATAGAAACGATATATAAGAGGAGGCCCTTATCCCCCCCAAATTTGACATATCATTCTCCTCGAACACATCCTACCTTACATCACCTGTCTCTTCACCCCGCACAAACTCTGCCTCTACTCGAAATACCGAAATCATGCCTGGAGTCTACATTAAGAAGAATGGCCGCGTGCCTCACGAATCTTTGGCTCGTCGCATTGGCGGATGGCTACCGTCAAACCCCCATCGGATTCAGAAACATGTCAGAGAGGTGCTCAAGAGAGCGAACGCCGCAAAGCTGCCCATCGTCCCTCCCATTGCCGACCTTCAGAATCTTCTTAACAACAGCGCCATCGTCCGCATGCTCTTTACCGAGATGCTCAGCGAGGTCCCGGCCAAGTACACGACATACCCCGGAGGCGCGCCCAACGCCGAGATCAGAACTCTCGACGACCTCGTTGCTGCTCTCAATTACCAGATTCAAAGTCCCATCCAGTGGAACGATTCAGTCCAGATCGGCACTCCGATCAACGGCCTCCTGGACTGGCCCATGGCCACCGAGGCCGGCTTCGCGGCGTTCCTCCGAGACGACGTCAACAGCGTCTTCCAGAAAATGCTGAACTACTGGGGCGCTTTCCTCAAGAGCACGGCTTCCGCCGTGACGATCACGACGGCAACGAACGGCTGGCTATCGCCGCAGGCACAGGCTTCAGGCGGCCTGATGAACTTCCTCAACACGTACCAGGCCCCTGACCCCCAGAACCCCACCACCTACGGCTTCACATCGTGGGACCAGTTCTTCACCCGCCAGTTCCTGCCCGGTCTGCGACCGCTGGCCTCGCCCAACGACGACAACGTCGTCGTCAGCGCCACCGAGTCGACGCCCTTTGAAATCCAACGCGGCGTCCAGCTCCAGGACACCTTCTGGGTCAAGAACCAGGACGAGCGCACCAACTATAGCCTCGCCGACATGCTGGGCGGCGCCGACGTCGCGCAGCAGTTCGTCGGCGGCACGGTCTACCAGGCCTTCCTGAGCGCGGACAGCTACCACAACTGGCACGCCCCCGTCTCGGGCAAGTACCTCGGCGCGCCCAAGATCATCAACGGGACGTACTACTCGGAGCCCGTCATGTGGAGCTTCCACAACGACCAGGGCCAGTCCGACCCGGACCCGGCCTCCGACGAGCTCTCGCAGAGCTACATCTCCGCGGTCGCCAAGCGCGGCGTGGCTCTCATCCAGGCCGACAACCCGGCGATCGGCGTCATGGCGGTCGTCATGATCGGCATGGCCGAGGTCTCGTCGGTGGACTTCTTCGACGTGCCCGACAACTCCTTCAAGAAGGGCGATCCGATCGGCTGCTTCCACTTTGGCGGGTCCACGCACTGCTTGATTTTCGGTCCCAACGTCAAGATTGACTTTGCTGCAGATGCCGACCCGGTTGCGAACATCATGACTCCGGGCCCGCCTGTGAAGGTTCTGAGCCAGCTTGCTACTGTTACCCCTTCGAACTGAGTTAAGGGTTGGTAGACTTCGTAGGCCGATTTGCTCCTGAGGATAGCTCTGCTGAAAACATTTACTTAATGTCCGGTATTACCCTTTTCTTCAAGTCTGGAACTGTTACCATGATGTTTAGCTATAACAAATTAATCTTATTCTTAAATGTGAGCCTTTGTTTGATGTGAAGTGTACTTACTTACGAATAATAGTGCGTTTGCTTGAAGGTATAAAACAGGCTCAGACATCGCACCGCTCAAGAACCCCTCAAGCGTGAGCCAGCATTTACCTTTGGCTTAGGCTAGTGCGGTGAGGTGGGATGTAAGTCCCTGAACCCGGTAGTATTCTAGTATCTTAGGCTGTGACCCTCTCTCGCAAGCCAATGAGCAGACACTCGAGTTTCCCTTCACTGTATCGACAGGAATCAGATATTGAGTCATGGTAGTATCCTGTATATAGGTAGTATATATATCATACATCTGATACAAAGATCAGGTCTCATGGTAAGTCTCATTCGCTCCCAAAAAACAGAACACCTTTCCCTCCACACCTGCTCACGCTACGATTGCACTTGTCCTGAAAGAGGCAAATCTACAACTTTGACGGCTTGGGCGCCTTGGGTCTCTGAACCGGCGTCGCCAACGGGTCGTACACAGCACCCATAAGGTTGTCAGAGGGCGTAGATCCGTGGTTGAACAGACTCCGCGTATCGATAAGCGACGGGTTGAGCTGATCGATGCTCGTGCAACCAATAAGACGCATGTTCATCTCCATCTCGTCGCGGAGCAGCTGCATAGCGCGATCGACACCGTCGAAGCCGTAGCCGGCCATGGCGTACAGGAAAGGTCTGCCGATACCGACACCCTTGGCACCGAGGCACAGCGCCTTGATTATATCGGTAGCACGACGGACACCGCCGTCAATGTAGATCTCAATCGCGTTCTCCAAGCCCATGCGGCGAAGCACCGGCATCGTCTCGGCGAGGACCTCAATGCCGGACCGGGCAAAGTCGAGCTGGCGACCACCGTGGTTGGAGAGCACAACACCCTGGACACCGGCCTCGATAGCCTTGATGACGTCCTCAACACGCTGCACACCCTTCAGGATGATGGGCATGTTGGTGATGGACTTGAACCAGGGGATATCCTTCCACGACAGGGCCGGGTCGATAAAAGACGAAATGGCGCGAGCAGCACCCTGGCTCTGATCCGTCGCCTGGCCCGACTGCACGTTGGCGCCCGGGTCGGTGAACTTGGACCGCATATCCTTCTCGCGACGACCCAGCTGCGGCGCGTCGACGGTGATGAAGAGGCCCTTGCAGCCGCGCGCCTCGGCGTGCTGCACAATCTTCTTTGTGATCTCGCGGTCCTTGTTGACGTAGAGCTGCATCCACTGCACCTGGTCGCCCTCGGCGGCGTCCATGAGCTCGTCAAAGGAGCACGAGGCCAGCGTCGGGATCATTTGGATGACGTTGTGCTTGCGGGAGGCGCGGGTGAGGAGGACCTCGCCCTCGGGGTGGCCCAGCTTGCCGAGGGCGGTGGCGGTGACGTAGAAGGGCATGTCGACCTTTGCGCCGAGCATGGTGGTGGTGAAGTCTACCTTTTCGACGTCGACCAGGATCTGCGGCCGGAACCATATTCTGTGGAAGGCACCATGGTTTTCGCGCAATGTCTACAGAAAAAAATCAGTTAGAAATTGTGACTGGTCCTCTGGTGGGTGCGATTTCGCGGGGTCGACCTACGATTTCGTCGTCGGCTGCACTCGAGTAGTATCCCCAAGCCGTCTTCTTCATGACTCTGCGCGCTACGGCCTCGAAATCCATCAGGTTGTAACATTGGGACAATAGTGGCTTCTGCTCAACCCTCTCCAAGCGCTCAATCTCTTCAGGATCCTCTTCCTTCTCCTCAGCCACTACAGAGGTCATGTCGACGGGGCCAAGATGCTTGGACTGCTCGAGGTACTTGTCGAGGGTGTCGGGCGGGTGAATGGGGTCGAACTCTTCCGTCGCATCTTTGCCGGCGTACTTGAGGATGATTTTTGAGCCACCGGGGTGCTCTGAGGGTCGTCGTTAGCAGGGAAAGCACTTGAGGGTACTGTAGAAGAACTTACCAGGCAAGAAGTCCGTCACATCGTAAGCTTTGCCCTGTTAGGTAGCCAATGTCAATTGCCTGCCAATTGACATTGAATCGACACCTCATCATAACTTACGTGAACAATGACCCAGCAAGAGTCGGCACTGTTGTGCTTCGCGATATCGTCACCCTTCAAGCCCATTTTGCCTGCTGTTCGTTGCGATTGCTGTCGTTGTTCCGGACGAAGGGAAGAGAGTGGACTTGGAAATTTATCGACAGGCTGGAAAATCCGGGGTAAAGGCCGACAAATAGCTAGATCTTTCTCCACGGGGTAGCGTCTGATTTATGGGTGGCTTGCTTGCTGGTCTAGTCGAATCCAAGGTATTTCAAATCAGAGGGACCGGGAATAGCACGTTTTACAAACACCAATGACGGGCAGAAGAAGTAATGGAAGAGAAGCCGACGCAGATCTAGGGGCCGGAACCAAGAGCAGAAAAAGATGTAGGTGTCGTCTCGCTAGTCAGTCCGAGAATCGAGTCCGAGAATCGGGACTCCAAAAAAGTTCTCCTAGGTCAGAAATGTTGGGGGAAGCAAGCACGTATCTTCTCTTGAAGGGGGGGAATTCGACTTGGAGAGAAGAGACGGTTGCCGGGGGGCGAAACCCATCAAAGGTCATCAGCTCGCTCTTCATTGTACCGTCGCAGACTGCCGCGCCCCACACTGGCTCCAGTGCAGGGCTAGCGGCCCATCTCGGGTCAATGGGGTGCGGGGTAATATGTCGGTGACGTCCTCCACACTTGCACTTCCTCGGTGTAAACTGCTACCGGTCTCCATCCCGGGCTATCCCCGAAAGGCAATCGGTGCCCACCCACGCACCGTCGCACACCCACGCACCGTCGTGGGCAGCATGCCAGCGACAGCAACGCCAACCGCAATCTTTTCGGCTTGGAACCCGCTGCTGATACGGATACTCGCGGCTACACTTCCGAAGGAGGGTGCGGGATGGCCCTTCTTTATCTCAACTACACACGTGTGTATGCGCCACTCGACCCGTCAACGCCAACTTAGTCTTAATCTAATCGTTCCTTTCGACCGGTACCATGAAGTCTATTCCCTTAAGTGCTCGTCGCCACCGTTTTACGCGTATTGAAAGTCACGTAAATCGCAAGCAGACATGCATTCTCGACATTAAGGACCTCCTCAACTTCAATCCCTATTTATGATGGAAGCAGTCACTGGTGTGATAGTGGTCGTTATGGAAAAAGCTGGGCAGGCATTGTTCGATTGTATGCATCAATGGGTGCGGCTCCTGGGTTGTCAGAAACTGAACTGGCGTCTTCGCCGGCATATTCTTAGATAATGGTGCTTTGGTTGACCATAGTCACGAAGGCCTATACACTCGATCCCCAGAACACCACACATGTACTTTCACTTTCATGAGGGACTAACCTTGAGCCCGTGGATTGCCGTTCCCGGCTTACCTCCCACTGCCCAGCCCCTCATAAGGACAATCGCAATAAGTATCAGTAGCACCCCCAGGAGTAAGGTCCTGATCAGCGACGCCTGCTTTCTCCGATTCTCAACCACTTGAGCATCTATCTTGTACCATTCCCAACTCTTGATCGTATGGTACTCGTCCCTCAAGATAGGCCTCGCGGGATCCGGCATGATGTCAGCCAGGTCGATTTGTATCTTGAGGAGAAGTTTGACAAGCTTGGCCACCAAAGGGTTGGGGTGACCGGTGCGCTGTTGTTCTCGGACCTTGGGTGGTACGATGGTGAGGAACAGCTGTCGGCCGAACCATTGGAGATACCTGCCCATTCATGAGATATGCCATTGGCAGATGTCGGGGATGTTCAGTGAAACGTACCTTGGAAACCATAGTTCGGCAAACTGATCAACAACCCCCTTAGATATCACAGCCCCCTTGACTCTTTCTTCCTCACTGGTATACTTATCAAACGGCAGCTCCCGATACCACTTGTGAAAAGCCTCAAGTTCCTTCCAGTCCCTCGGGAAATTCACCCCAAAGCTCCTCGACCCGTCCTCTGGCTCCGACCGAAAGTGCGCACACGCCCTCTCGGCCCACGCCGGCCACGCCGCCGCCAGCTTGGGGTGTATGTCCCCGACCCTCGCCCCGACGAGGTCCCTCAGGTACGTCTCAAAGTACGCCGACCCGATGAGCGACATCTGGCCCTCCCAGGGGTGGCTGAACGTCCCCGGCGCATTCTTCCACACACCGGCGTGGATCTTATTGACCCTCTCGATGCCCTCGACGGCCTGCGGGGAGGCGCTACCGTACCACATCCAGTCGAGGAGCCGGTCCTGCGTCTCGTAGAAGCGCTGATGACCGCGGCGGAAGAGCTTGCCCGTGCTGTGGACTGCTGAGGCGCCCGCCGGCGTCTGCGTCAAGAGGATGAGGGTCGAGGTGTAGCCCATGGCGATGGCGAAGCTGGAGCCGGTGATGAAGGTCTAGGTCTGGATGATGCGGTCGTACTCGGTTTCTGGGTCGAGCTATGGCACGTCAATGAATTCGTTCCAGAATATTTGGATCTTATTGCTGCTTTTGTTGTTACCAACCTGGTCAAGATACGCCGATATCCACTTCCCTTTCCTCTCTGCCTCCGGTGGCCATTCTGGGACCGGCCTTTTGGATTCTGCCGGTGGTCTTGGTTGTCGTGGATGAGCTTCAAATTGACTTATGCTATCGGTTCCTGGAGGGAGATTCTTGGTGAGATCAAGCTTGTAGAAGCTCCTCTCGCGATTTCTCAAAACGGATTTCTCATCCATGACAACTGGCTAGGACGATCGAAGCTGATGTGCGGTACTTCTCAGTTACAAGTCTTCTACTTTTCTCTGAAAGGTTCTTGTCACAAAACTGTCAACTTTGGTCTCGAATGCGAATCTAATACACCGGTATTTGTATTCATATCCAATGTTCTGTCCGTTCGCAAATTCCGAGAAACCAGTTCATTCCGAAATCCTTGCCTCCCGTGATATAGGCGAAAGTTTCCCCATGGGAAGACACGAGGCATCTTTGTCCTAATTTTTGTTTGAGAAGTTCATGCTACAACAGAAACTCGATGGCCAGTCTGTGGGCAACGCACGATGTTGGCTTGGTCGAGGTGGCTTGACATGGGATGAAAAGCGAGCCAAGACCACGGGATGACCCTGCGGCAAGTCCTTCGGCAGCCTGACAACGGCAAAGAACAGACCCAAGAGCCCGTACGCCGCTTACATAGTTGCGATCGCCTAAAGATCGCTTCCTAGCCCGCCCAAACTGCTTACCTTTCTGTAAGGTAGAGTGCGGAACCTTTAAAACTCCGGCACAACCAAACTCTCGGTGTCGACCAACCATGCAGTGCCATAATGAGATATGTAGGGAAAACAGTTCATGGAATACATCGAACTAACTGCAAAAACAAATATTTTTGTAACTAATCAATGAGCCAATTGTTGGGCTCGGAAGCAACTTGCATCCGGGCATCGCCGACATGGCGACTGATTATGTATGTACAATGTATACTCTTCCCGGTTGATCTAGATTATATCATGGCATGTCTTAATCAAGGCTTGTTTGTCACATATTGTAAAACTTTGTAATAAAGCCTGCAGTTGCGATTAGAGTAGATGTTGATCTAATCCCAAGAGGAGCATTCAAGGAAGTGTGGCAAAGACCGCCGACACTACCGACGAATGGATTATAAGATGCAATCCATGTCTAGTGGCATCCATAACCACAAATCTTGTCATGAGAAAAGCCGATTGTTAAAATGCACCATCTAGCTTTGTCCACATTTTTCACCAAAAGGATTCGTACGTGTTAGGCTATCAGCCCATGGGCCCAGGCACGCCAGGGTACTCTGCAGGACCATCCCACAGTACACTTGCAACTTGAATCTGCCCAGAGCGGCAAAGCGGTCAGATCTCAGATGCAACCAAGCGAGAGCTGAAGACAGAGAAACCAATATCCAAGGCCTCATTCGCTGGGAGGAGGAGGGGGGAGCATAACACCTAGCCCGAACTTCAAAGGTTGCCGGGGTCTGTTGGACACCTCGACTTAAGGCCCAATCAGTGCAACCTGTTAGAGTCCAGCTGCAGATGCAGGTCTTGACTGTTGGGGCCTGAGCGGCTCGGTCGAACTTTTGATAGGGTCTTGGAGAGGACCTGATCCGTCAGGCCTAGATATTCCATGACCGACAGACTCAGTAGATGCAGCCCAGGCTGTATGGAAATTCAAAGATGGACAGCTGCAGGAACTTCGACTTGTAGGGAGAACAGGTAAAGAGATTGGCATCTGACTAAGGATTCTTTTCGCCCTGACAATTTTCTATTGACACATTTTCTTTTCGAACTGTTTATTTCCAAAATTGTGACTTATACAGAAGCATCTCTCACTGCGGTATGACCGACTCCTGCCCATCCGACGGCGGTTGCCTCTTCGCCTTATGCTCTTGCTTCAAGAGACGAGAGAAGCCGCGCCATGACGTTTCCGGGTCTCCTGCGACCGGCATTGACGTCCTACCAGCGTCACAACTGGCTGACGATGGGAAACTTGAGCCTACAGACCCCGAGGTCGTACGCCTTGTATCAGTACCAGGCGTCCCACGTGCGACATCATCTACTGGTATTGCGGATGACCCATCACTCCTTCCTGCTTCCAACGTTCCAGGGTCATCTGCATTGAACGGCTCTGCTCCAACCATTGATTTATGGCAGGAAGCATGCAAGAAGGTGGACGTCAAAACCCAGATATGGATCGCCAGTCTTCCTCCACCATTCAATGCTCAAGATCCTGCAGGTGAGCTGGCGGAGTTGGTCCGCACTAGCGAAGAGGAACACAAGCAAGAGGCGCTGAAGCTCAAGTCCGGCGACCGGGAGATTCTGTGGAGGGATTATGCGAACAAAGTTATGCCTGTGGTGACTGCAATTGGAGATATTGCTATCAACTTTGCCCCTGCGCCATCTAACGTCGTGTGGTCAGCTATCAAGGTGCTTCTGACGGTATGTATTGCAGCAAAGCATGAATTTACTTTGCCAACACTTTGATCTAATGATCTTGCAGACCCACGTATCTGAGCGCGAGGATCTTGTGGCTATCATGGGATGTACCGACATAGTCCTCTGCCTCGTGAGGCGTGGTCGAGTGTACGAGGAGGTCTACATTGGTTACTCCATGTCGCCTAGGCCGCTATATCAGGAAGACTTGATGACGAAGTTAGTTGAGGTATACACGAAATGCTTGGAGTTTCTTGCTTTTGTCCACGAAGAGATAAAGCATGGCGTTTCACGCCGATTCTTCAACACACTCGTCGACCCAGGCTACGGCAACAACCGTCTATCAACAGTAAAGGCACTTGAGCGTGAACTTGAGTTCGCAACTCTTCCTCGTAAGGCCAAAGCCGATGATAAGTGTCGAAGACTGCTTGAAAGTCTTGAAGAACCGATCAAGCGTACCGACAAGAATGTCAGATATATTCTTGAAGCGCTTAACAAGCAAGAAATAAACAAGGCTATGGAATACGCCAGTGACATTCCAGTCGGATCTCATCATAACGAGAAGGCCGAAAAAAGAACCGAGGGCACATGCGAATGGTTGGTCAGCCATCCTGAATTCCTTAAATGGGAAGACTCTGATTCCACTCCGGTGTTTTGGTTGCAAGGTAATAGTAAGTATCAAGACTCGAAGGCTGTTTTGTGTAACAACAAACTGACCACGGTTCTGCTCTACAGTCGGTACGGGCAAATCGTTCTTATCTTCGAAAGTGATTGATCATTATCGAATTCAGAAAACATTTACCAGCCAATCGCCCAGTCAGCCCAGCCTAGGCTTCGCCTTCTTCTACTGTAACAGCTCTGATCAGAATCGGCAAAGCATTAAATCCATTCTCCGAAGCTACATTCGACAACTAGGCGAGGTGACCGATCATCCTGAGAGCATTCATGAGACATTATTCAATCTATACCAGCGGAAACAAACTCAAAGCGATATCACGCTCCAGGAATGCGAGACAGCGTTGGTAGAGATGATAAACAGCTACCCTCGAACTGTTCTGATACTCGACGCATTGGATGAGTGCAAGAAAGACACGAGACGGCAGATTGTTCAGCTCTTCAAGCGTTTAGTGGAGAAAACCAATAGTTGTTTGAAGATATTCATCGCCAGCCGTCCAGAGCACGATATCAGTGACCATCTGAGGTCATTCCAAGAGCTGAGGGCGACGATCATAATCAACACTTCTGATAATCAGGGCGACATCGAGAAGTTTGTCCATACAGAGGTGGACAACTTCACTGTGGACTGGAGCCCTGAAACCAAGCAGGTTGTTAAAGAGAAGCTTGTGAAGAAGAGCAAGGGAATGTGAGTTCTAGCTCCCACACTATCCTTACCTACTTAAGCTGACTGGAAAAAAACTAGGTTCAGATGGACTTACCTGCAATGGGAACAGCTCAAGGAGTTCGAGACCAATACCACTGTCAAAGCCAGGCTTGGAGACCTTCCCAAAACTCTGACCAAAGCCTACGATGAGATTTGCGATAAACACGAACCTGAGAGCTTTGAGCGTTTCATGCTGCAGCGAGCGGTGAGATGGGTTATGTGCGCCCGCCGGCCGTTCGACAGTCGCACATTGCTGTCAGCCATTCAAGTGGAAAGCGAACAGATGCATGGAGACGGCATGAAAGCTCACGACAAGTCAGATCTCACCGAGAAAATGTTGGAGACTGTCTGTCAACATTTGATTGTGAGGGACCCCAAGCTCGAGGTCTGGAGGTTTTCCCATGCATCGGTCAGAGAATACTTTGAAGATAAGAAGAAAGAGCGGTGGGTCAAAGACGCACCAGCGGAGGTAGCAATTGTCTTGATCAACTGCTTGAGGGATTGCTGCGCAGCTTACTCCTCTATCTGGCCACCCTCAGATGTTGACGACGACGACGACGACTCACGGACCCTCCAGGAAGGCTGTGGCACGCATTCAGATAGTTGGTACGAGGCAGGAGGAGCGGACCTTGACCAACCTTTAGATCCTCGGCATCCGCTTCAAGCGTACATTCGACTGAACTGGCTCACACACACCCACGATCTTCCAGAACAAGATGACAGAGCTGAAGACGTAGCCCTTGCTTTAAAACAATTCCTGGGCGAAGAACGACCTCCGTGTTCATCGAAGGAGTATCAGGTATTTTGCAGCCGCGCCATCGAACCTGCTCAATGGCTTTTTTACACACCTATGTCGAAACAGGTCAGGCCAGTTACCAACTTCGCCTTTGGCATTGTGGCAATGGGACTTCATCGGTTCCTGCCTGAGTGGTGGAACGAAGGCCTCGACCTTCCCTCGTTGGTAAATGAGGAAGGTCTGGGCCTGCTGCAAATTGCCACCCATTTTGGCCACTACGACCTCTGTCAATTTCTAATCAGTCGGGGTTGTGACGTCAACGCATCTTTTGACGCCCTTGATTACGGCCCTCCGTTGTGGATATCAGTAAACCGACGAGAGATCGATGTCATGGAGCTGCTCCTCAAGAACGGTGCAAACATGGACTGCGTCCTCAAAGACCAAACTCTGGCTTGTCTGGCAGCGGAGAATGGATCTGGGTGCTGCACTATTCTACTGGAGAATGGTCTGGATCCCAACATGAAGTGTAATACCGATGATACCGGTGGATCGGGGGGGTGCCGTTTCGGTTGTGCCCTGTCGAGGGCTGCTTTTAATGGCGATCTCAACACCATTAAAGCCCTGCTTGACAAGGGAGCAGAAGTCAACCCGGAGAACCTCAAAGACAGCTATGGA